CAGCTGGTTAACATGATCCCTGTAAAGCAAAGCCCAAGAATCCATTCCCACCCCCATCAACACTGTACAACTCATCCCAAGCTGCTGATGTATTTGCACTCAAGCATCACACAGGCTCTGGCTGAGCCAGGGAGACTGCATAACCCTTCTGCAGGGGCCTCTCCTGGGGAATGTGCAGCCTCGGATGTGGGGAGAGATATTTAGTCAAATGTAAAGGAAAGCTATAGCTTGATGATAATCATCGTAATTGTAGCTAATGTTTATTAGGTGCTTACTATATTCTAGGCCCAATGTCAAGTACTGTACATGCACTGTTTCACTTAATCACGGTAATTTCCTTCCAAGAAAGCTATTACTAGTGATAGGTTTTACAGATGAGAAAAATGGAGGTTCGGACAAGGAAAAGTAATGTACTCCAGGTCTCCGAGTCAAGATGGCACAGAAACAGTGCCGTGAGGCACAGAGCTCCTACTTTCAATCACCACGCCAGGCCGCCCCAAATCCTGACAGACAAAGAGATGTTCTGGTAATGACAGAAGACAAGAAACCTAGATGGTGTCCCCTCTCCCAAGCCAGTGCTTCTTTACTTAGCTGTCTTCAGCACTGCCCGGGAGCTTTTAAAATACAAATGCCTGAGCTGCAGAGCCAAGACGTGATTCAGAATGTACCAGAGGAAACCAGCCACCTGTATCTTTAACAAGCTCCTTACATGACTCAAATGTGCACCCAAGAATAAGATCTGGTATTCCAATCAATACATTTCCACACCTTGGTGGATATACTAAAAATCTGGGACAACATAAGTGATAAATGTCACCTTGCAACTTCTTAGAAGAAATCTAAAAGGTACAAGAGCTGGTTGCTTGTTTCCTCTAATCCCGGGTTCTACCTTCTACATTTGTTCAGAAAACTAAAAGTACAGTTTGCTTGTCAGTGCCTTTAACTTTGATATCCCAGTGCAATGTCTGTTGTGTGGTGTATCTGCATGGAAACGTAGAGATTAAACACTAATATCCTTTGCTAGCAGTTGACTGTCAGCACAGTTGAAAAACCTGGCAAGATGACCCTCCGGAGCCTCCTCCCCAGGAAGAGGAAGGCAGCTGACAATCTGAGTCCGGAAGTGTTGGCACAGAGTCACTTCTGAGAGAAAAGGATGGGCTCCAACTTCTGTACAGAGCAGGGGCCCTGCGGAGAGGTGGGGGGAAACGTGTGCTGAAGGAGAACAATTGGAGCCTCTCAAATGGAAGCACCAAGCAAACTACTCTGGGAGTTTCAGGGACTGAAGAGATGGTTGGCCCATGAAAGACTAAGGAGATAATAAACTGCAAGTACATCACTGAGGAGAAAAGGCATTACTGGGTTCAAAAGAGACAGATATGCAGACATAAGGGGAAACGAGATTCTGAAAAATATCATATGCCAAGTTTGAAGGTAGAGGAGAGGTTGTGTGTGTATGTGTGTGTCCACACTAACATGATCTCTTTAACAAGATATTTGCTCTGTGGCAAGAATCTGAAGAGAGGTAAGGTTACATCACACCTGGACAGGTGTCACATTATGAAACTATGCACAGCATGTCTATATCACTGAGTGTCTGCAGTGATATAAACAACCAACTAATGATATCTGAACCCAATTCTAGTCAAGCGGACAAAAGAAAATTTTTTATATTTAAGTTACATGAAGGATCTGAATCTGTCAAAATTCTAGAGCAAAGCCTGTGGACTCCAAATTGTGGTACATACTCCATGGGCAGAACACAAAACGATTCTGGGATTGGATATGAATGAACATTCTTTATCTTAATGGTTACATATTTATTTTCCTGTATATTAGAGAACAGAACAGTGAGACCATCAAACTCATGTTTTTGGAGCTTTAACTGAATAGGAATAGGCCATGTAAAGAAGTGAGTTGATTTAAAGTTGAAGCAAAGACATGTATTAAACAAACATCAGTGAATGATTTATGTGGTTGTGGCACAAAGAATGAAGGAAGGTTTATGAAAATGATTCAGGTTTGGGAAGTAGGGAGTAGGTATAGAAAAAGGCATCACAATGAAAAACATTGTGACATTGTGATCACTAAATATGCAATTATTATTATGGAATACACGTTATGGAAATGCAATTTCTCCTACAAATCAGCTGCCAGATCTTTATATTTGAATTCCAAAGAGTAAACTCAGAAAAGAGCTTTGATAAAGCAGTCTTCTGTCTTTGTCCACAGACCAAAGGGAAGCATAAGGTGTGTGAAGACTTTACTGTGCATTGTTACTTGTTCATTTAACCCTGATGGATGACCAGATTACAACCTAGGAGAGGCGAGTGCCAGTAGAACAGTCTTCCTCAGCATCAACTCACCCAACTCCTATTGTCCTCTCTAAACCAGCAGGAATATCATTCTAGTTTCCCAGGGGGAAAAAAAGATTATTAAACATATTATTAAAAATAATATTCACCTACACACATCTATATACTTTTCAATGAAAATGTTTCTTTTGAAATGTTTCTTCTCTGAGAAATGGGGGGGAAGCTAAGCACTCCACAAATATTCAAGCATATGGAGATTTTGGTGTTGCTTTCAGAGAGCATTTACTAACATCTGGAGGAAAGAGGTATTGCTTTACCCTCTTCCCATCTCTCACCCCTCCATCCACCATCTGCAGACAGGGCCAGCAGTTGGCTTTGCAGCTTAGGCAGGTCTGATTTCACACATCCTTAACTTTCATCCCTTGCCTTGTGATAAAATTAATCATGGGCAAGGATCTAATTGATTTTCTCCTGATCTCCATTTTCTTTCCTACATGCTCCCAGACTATGCTTCTAGGCCTGTCCCAGAGCTGCCTCTGCTTCAGTCTCATCATGACCTCGGCACTATGGAAAGCTTAGCAGCGTTTACCAGCACTATCTGATCTGTCCCCAACTGCACTGTACACGTTTGTACAAAACATGAGGTGACCATGGCTCTCCTGGAAACCTGAGAAGCACATCACCTCACAGTCTTGTTCGTGGCAGATGTGGGTGTAGCTAGGCCTTTTCCAACTGTTTGCTGGTACATGTGGAGGAGCCCAGGCCATGTGGACACCACAGTGAGAATGCGCCAAGCTAGACAGTCAAGAGGAACACAGATTATCATTGGAAGGAAAGCCAATCCAGGTATAGGGTCAAAGCCCATTGACCTAGAAATATTTCCAGGAATTTATCTTAAGGAAATGATCATGATTATGAATAGATTTAGCTACAAAGATCGTAACAGTAGCTTTATTCATAAATGCAAAAATATATGAATCATCCAAATGGTACTAAATACACCAAGGTGCAGCTGTATTGTGGTATACTGTGATACCTTTAAATGTATGATATTTGGGGTGTTGAAGATTTGTTTTCAGGAATTATAAGGAAAGCCATCACTTTTAAAATGTGAGGGGCTACTAAAACTCATTTTTGTAACAAAGGAAGAGAAAGATGCCAATCCTGATAAGGAGCCTTTTCTCTTCAAGGTAAAGCAGGTCATTGTTCCACTTTGTGTTTTGTCCTTGTTGTAGTGATAATAATAACAGCCATCCACAGCATTTACTGAGCATGTATTCTGCACCAGGCACAGTTGGAAGTGCTTTAATCCTCACAACAACCCTGTGAAGGATGAACAACTGTCTGATCAGTGAGCAGTAGAGGTAGAACTCTCACCCAGCTCACCGAGGCAATCTGGCTGACGCCATGTGTCTTATTTTATCTATCTATCTATCTATCTATCTATCTATCTATCTATCTTTATGTTTTCACTGATTTTACAGAGAGGGAGAGAGAGAAACATCAATTCGTTACTTCCCACACACACTCTAACTGGGAATCAAACCTGAGACCCTTTGGTGCACAGGACAACATTCAACCAACTGAACCACAGTGACTAGGGTGATGCCATGTCTTTCAAACAGATATCCTACTGACTCCCTGAAGGCACATATTTCTACGAGAGCAGTATGTGCAGACTTGCCATTATCTGTTCACTTGTCTGCTTCCCTTCCTCGGTTATGAGCTCTTTAAAGACAGGCCGTACTTTTATATTTCCATTCCCTGGCAGACAATCATGTAAATGTTGGCTGTGTGAATGAACCAGCCTTGGTATCTGCATATGATTCAACAATAACTAATAATAATAGTCATGGCTCTCAGCTGTCAGCCCAGGCCTTGTGCCAGGTGCTTAATGCATGAACTTCATTTAAACCTCACAACTTCCCTATGAGGTTAGTACTGTGATCCCTACTTTACGGATGAGCAAACTGAGTTTGAGAGAAGGCAAAAGGCTTGTCCATGTGTTGCTGCCGGCACAGGAACACAGGTCTATACTGAACTCTCTCCTTCTAAATGCTAAACAAGACTGGGGAGCATTTTAGGGAGCAGTCACCAGGTGACTGCAAAAAACTCAGAAATCCTGAGATGGAAACAAGTTTTGAAACAATCGTAGTGCTTACACTTTGCTGTGGAACAAGGATGGTGTTATTCCCTAATGAATTCCTTAATTAATGTCACATATTTATTATGTGTCCACTCCATGCTAGGCCATGTGAGAGGTGGAGTAGAAAGAAGAGCAAAAGAAGGTCTGCCCTCACAGTGGGGCATGTGACTCACCCTAATAAGCATCTAATTACAGACTGAGAAAAAGGAGGAAAACTGTCCTTTGGGAGCTGCTAACAAAAGGGGGCCCAAAGATGCAAGGCCTGAGCTGAGCTTTTATTGTGTAGCAGGAGGGAGAGAGGCTCAGCTGTTTGCACACAGGAGATCTGAAAAGAGAATCTGGACAGCATGGCTCTGGCCTTTCATTCCCAGCAATACAGGCTTCTCTCTTGTTAGGGTTACACAGCCGTGGCACACAGTCCTCAAGGATGCAAAGGGCAGAGGCCCACAGAGAGGACAGAGGTGTGGCCCCTGAGCAGCCAGAGGCAGAGGTGGCAAGAGATGTCGCTGGGGTATCATGCTAGCCCTGAGCGCAGAACTCACGTTTCTCTGTCGACTGCGTGGCATGGAAGAGCGTCAGGGGCCTCTCACTGCAGGACGGGGGCTTGGAGTCACTGCTCTTCTTCCGAGACAAGTGCAGCTGGGCATTGGTGAGAGGCGTTTCAGGCACTGTGTTAAATATCTGCAAGTAAAATTGCATAGGACGGTTACAGGCTGCCATGAACTGGGGAGAAAGCAGAACCAGTACAAAGGCGGGTGGTGATGTCTAAGAATCAGCAACAGACCTTGAGAAGACCACCAGTGTTTGCTCAGGACTTCATTGTAATCATCTCGAGGAACTGGGTGAAACCTTCTTGTTGGGAAGTGTACCCCAGACCTTAGTAACCATTTACTTCCATCTCTAACCCCTTCTCCTATTGATCTTCTTTTTGTATTTCTCTCCAGGGGACATGGGAAAAATCTGTGCTAAATCTAAGCCATTGGCTATTAACAAGGCTTCAAGTTTTGTGACCACCTTTGTGAAGAATCAATAAGTCAAAATCTTTTTACTTCTCTGGTTCTCTTTTCCAGTTCTCAATGACTGCTTCACAACTTTCTCAGAGTGTGAAATATGCATTTTATATAACACTCCAAACAGAACTCCAGTGCAGGGCGCCATTTCCTCATCCGCCCTCAGTCATATTCAGGAGGGCATCCTTTATAGTGTTATATTTGATGCTGAGCAATTTTTCCCCCTTATTTATAAGCTGGGGGGGAGGGAGACTTGTTGTTTTTCCTTGCAATAATAAAAGAAACGTATAAATACTAAAAGCATCAAGAAGAAAACAGAAATACTCTCCAATTCTAGGATAACCACTATTAGCTTTTGAGTTTTATTTTCTTGTAAATGTTTATTTTTATTTTTTAAAGCCCAAGGTAAAAAATGAGAAGAAAATGTTAGATAAAATCATGACAACTCTCATCTTTTTTTCCTACAGACACAAGGCCAGAATTATCCTATCTAATAAAGAGGGAATATGCAAATTGACCCTCACGCCATCACAAAGATGGCAGTTCCCATAGCCGCAAGATGGCAGCACCCAGTCCCCTCAGCGCCCCGCTGGAGTGCCCTAGTCCTTTCAGGCCCCCACTGAGAGTGAACAGAGGGATGTGGGGCTTCATCCCTCCGGCAAGGGTTAAGCCCCCAGGCCTGGCAGACAGAAAGCGGACAGTGGGGCATGGTGGCTTCGTTTGCGCAATGGCGGCCCCACAGAGAGCAGAGAACCACGGGGAGTGGATCTAAGCTGTCAGTAGAACATCCCCTGATGGCTCCTGGATTGGAAAGGGTGCAGGTCAGGCTGAGGGACACCCCTTCCCGGTCCCCCCCCGCCCCCAGCACAAATGTCATGCACTGGGCCTCTAGTTATAGTATATACCACTTATACGGTTAGTTGCCATGGTTAGTAGCCACCTTCAATGTTGGTTCCCTAGGGACTGGCCACTGCATGTGTTTCACAGGTGGCTCATTCAGTTCTCAGTGACCTGAGCAATAAGTACTCTCCTCACCATTTATAATGAAGAACTGAGGCAGAGAGGTTAAGCTACCACAATCACAGATGTTAACTACAGATGATAACATAGAAACCCATGTTCTTAGATTTTTCAGATTCATTTTCAATGAATAAAATAATGACAGCAGCACTAATTCATGCAATCAAGAAAGATCTTTTGAGTATGTTCCCTGTGGTTAAAATTTGCATCCAGTAGCTGCGATTTGTTGAGTCTTCGCCATGCCAGGCACCAGGTTAAATGTTTTGTATTGGTTATCTCGCTTAATGTTAAAGAATAGTTTTCCATAATGATGATTATATTCTGTATATAGTTGGTATCCTATACATTACACTGTGACATTTCCTCCTTCATTAAACAATCTTCTAACACCTCCACTATATTAAATCAATATTTACTGATCCACTCATTATTGTCGCTTCCTCTTTAGAGACAGCCTCCTTCTGGATTTTCTCTATTTTGACAATCATGAATATAGTGAGAGGATGATGGTGGCAGCCCCACTTCCTTAAACTATGGGTGGCCCTAAACATATCAGAGTCTTTCTCCTGGCTTTCTCTCCTTCGTGTGTGCATTGAAAAGAACTCAGAAGCTGATACTATAGGAAGCAAAGTCATAAGAATGATAAGAATTTCAGCCCAAACAGCTGCTCTCCATGGGTTGGCAGGTCCTTGGGCTCCAATGATGCCAGCCAGCTGGTTAAGTCCATCTCATTATCAAACACAGCTGTCTGAAAACAGCATTATCATATTTTCCCCAGGGGATGAGTTTTCAACAAAATAAACCGAATCACAACATAGCTGAGTTCAACTGGGGCAAGAGAGTAAGGGGAGAAGGGGACTTCACACAAAAACAACTGAGATCATTTGGCTTCCAGAGGAGTTGGCATCCCTAAAAATAAGTACCAGTGCTATACATGTCCCCAGTCTCTTTTTGGGTGTCTGCAGGAAAAGAAAAGAGAAACTATAATTGTTGTTGAACTCAAGGACCCCAACCTCTAAGAAGCTGACTCTCCCCTTTACTTTGATCCCCAAAATAAGCTGAACCATGGCTGCTCCTCGGTGACAACCTGCCTATGCACTATTACCACTGACATATAAAAAACTGTTCCTTTAGATGAGTGTTCACATCTGCCTGGTCAACTCAACACAGCAAACAAGCTGAGCATTCCACAATGAGAGATTTCCTGACCAGTGCAGCTAAGCAGAGGAGAGGCCCGGGCAGGAACCTGGGGCTGAAATAACTAATACCTACACTTTCCATGTCCTCAGCAGTCATAATTCATTCAGCTTAGCTTTTCTAGCCAATCCTGACTATAGAGGCAGGAGGCTCCAAACCCCAAGGATGTATTTCAACAAATAATGGCGTCTCTAAGAACCCTTCTGCCTCTGGCTGCAAGTACAACACATTCAGCAATCCCTACCTAAAAACATTTTAAATGAATTCAAACTTAGTGATAGGCCTCTGCCCTGTTATGCCTAGTGTCCCACAGGTTTTGTCTCTCTTTTCTTAACAAATTACTGAGAATGAGATCCCCACCAACTACCATGGGAACAGTTTAATTTCAACTTAACAAAAAATGTGAGCACTTGCCTTTTCCTAAAAACTGTACTAATTGCTAGAGAAACAAAGAATAGTAAGCTGTAAGGAAGAAGCGTGGATTTAGATAGATGCCTGAAAAATTGTGCTTAAACACATCCAAGCAGGAAAATAGGAGAACATAAATTTCACTGGCTGTTTCTTCTAAGTCAGGAGTCATGGCCTTTTTTTTTTTTTTTTTTTTTTTTTTGCCAAGGACCATTTGGAAATTTATAATATCATTTTGTGGGCCATACAAAATTGTCAACTTAAAATTTAGCCTGTTATATTTGGTCAAACATTTAATTAACTCACCCCTAATGGCTTGGCAGGGCCAGACCGAATGATTTCTTGGGCCTTAAATGGCCCTCAGGCCAGACGTTCCCCACCCCTGGTCTAAGAGCATATTAGAATACACTCTAGAAGGAGATGTTCACTGAGGGGAGTATTAGCATCCTGAAGGTCAGTTCTCTTCACCGTGAGCTAGGCCCTAGCCTCAGACGATAGGGCCATATTCAGGCTCAAGTGCAATGGTGTGCAAGTAAGTGCACTGCAGAGTATAAAGAGCCAGACATCAGACTATCACCACCGCCATAACAAGTTTTCCCAAGTACAAGGGCATTTTGTAAATCAGACTACATCAGAGCAGATGACATGAACCTTCATCAAAGAGTTTGAGAAATCATTCCTCAAATTATTGTTCATTTAACCCTGAAACTTGAATACATGAAGTCACTGAAAAGCTGCTCCTTGTCTGGCCACCTTTTAGCCAGGTCAAGAGTGTGGCCTCTGTACTAAAAGCTCCAGTTGGAATTCTGACGGGAAACTGACTTATTCACAATTTTGTTGGTTATTCCAATCCTATTTTGTTTGGAAGAGATACTTTCACAGGGCCTTTCCAGATTAACACAAAAGAGGAGGGAGACTTGTGCTGTGCCATAAGGTCCTTGTTAATTCTGCCAAAATTTACTATTATAATTATGACTTACTCGGGAATGCCTTAGAAATAAGTTATTAGGAAGACCATAAAACTTCTGGAAGCTACTGGGGAATAAGACTGTAAAATAAAAATATAACTCTGGATAACTTTTCCAAGTATCCCCATTTCAAGCTTCCTATATATGGAATTAGCAGAACCATAAATTCCAAGTCTTGCAGCAGAGTGGTCAAGGGTGGCTGGGCCTTTGCAGTCAGACTGACTCTGGCTGAGTCCTGGTTCTGCTACTCAGTGGGCAACAACCACAGCTACAATGACCTCACCATCACTGTCATATCACCACAAAAAATATAGACCAGGAAGCTGCAGTCATTTTATGGGTAGAAGGCAAACAGGCTTTCGAGCTAGACAAGCTTTGGAACTCGTGATCTATTTCCCTCTTGCAAATTGCCCTGCAGAGCAATTGAAATGATAATGCACATAAAATGCTTAGCACAGAACTGGCAGAGATCAGCAGGAGGTGGGGGGTGGTATAAAAGATAATAGAAAGAACCAAGATCATTTGAGTGCTTGTTGTCTTAAGTTATTTACATGGGTTATCTTATTATTTTACTCACAACAACCCTACAAGGGAGGAACTATTATTCTTGCCATCTGGTAGGTGAGGAAACTGAGACTCAGTGAGAGTAACTGATCAGTCCAAGATCACACAGATGAGTACAGCTGACTGGACTTAGCTTGACTTTGTGTATCTTAATTACTAGTGGTCTTTATATCGACTATTATTTTGAGAGACAGAAGACAAAATGAAAAAGATCACATGATTTTAGAGTCTGATGGATCTCATTTTCTAGTTCTGTGACTTTGAAGAAGTTACATAACTGACCTTCAGATGCCTCACCTATAAAAACCCAGAACTGTGGTGAGGACTGAAGCACTTAACACAATTTGATGCTCAGTGTTCAAAAGACATTATTGCATTCAATAAAAAAATATAAGAAGGGAAATAACTGGAGACTCAACAATGAATTATTTGCAGTCGGGACATGAGGATTTAATTTATAAGTGCAAATTTAATTACTGCTCTTTGCAAAACATCGATTGTAACTGCTTACAGC